ATAAAAAAGATCTTCCCCAAATGACACAAGTAAAGGAATAAAAGGAATAGTCCTTCACTAACTTGTTTCAAAGTAACCTTTTATGACTGAAATAGAAGATTTGATGGTTAAAATGTCATCCCCTCCCAAATTCTCTGAAGAGATGGACCTGCTAGGCTAGGAGTTAAGGGGGGAACCTATGGGAGAAGTTTTATGTTCCATGAAAACAGGGGAGATACTTGATGATAAAAATATCAAACTGAGGTTTTGTTTGTTTTTCTCTCATTACCCTCTAAAGATTCTCGCAGGCCTGTGAGAGTCATTCGACATCACATCGCCATTCTTCCTCTTGACCAACCCCTCCTCAGGAGAACCCTTCAGGCATTAGTCCTAACCAGGAAAACCATCCAGGGCTCGGAGGGAAAACGTTGCCAGGCTTGGAGAGGGGACCCAGAAATCTCATTGGAAGCTCATATCTATGCCATTGCTGCCTTTTCTTTTTCTGAACACAACATTGTGTCTTCATTCTAGAGAAACTGCATATCTTTTCGCTATGATTTAACTATGACATTAAGTGAGATTGTAACCATTGAAGCATGAAAGAGTCCTTCTGAACAAACATGAGGATCATTTGCAAATGGCAGGATTGGAAACTAAATGTATCTGATCTGCCTGAAATAATAAATACTGTTTCATGTATGCTTGCTATATACCAGCTACTATTCTAAATAATGTATACGTATGAACTTGTTTAATGTTCACAACAGCACTAGGGTCTGAGCCATTCAAAAGAAGAAACATTGTGAGTCACAAGAAGGATGTTATGCAAATTTCTCAAGGTTACTTTAAGTGGCAGAAATAGGATTCAAAAGGTTTGTGCTTTTGACCACTACCCCTCACTACCCTCTCAAAGACTCCAAGGACTTTCAAAGGGCCATTTAAAAGGTTGTGTCAGTCACACAGCAATGTATATTTAGTAACCTGTATGTTTTAATACCAAAATTCATGTCAAATTTTTACAATATTTGTTCTCTGAGCCTTTTCTCAAGCCCTAAATAATTATACAGCAGATTGCTCACCTAGTAATGTGTTCATTGGTTCTGCTTTTACCACTTACGAAGCTCTGAAAAGTCAACATTAACATATACATAACACTAAGCAAAAAAATTTACATCCTAATGTCTTTCTTACTGTCATCATCCACCATTTCTGAGAGTCTGCCATGCTGCCTCTTAGAGGCTTGCTTCTATGTCTACACTCTCTTCTGACACTCGTAGGCTTACCTTTGCTTCTATCTTTTCTGCATGTATCTCTTCTACTTATTACTGGTTCTCGAGATCATGGCGAAGCCCAAGCATCACAAGCACATGGAATAAACCAGTAGGCTATTTGCTGTTTTTACACATATCTTCCTCCTCAACAGCAACAACTTTCTGCTACATGATTCTAAATCCCCAGGGTATAAATTCTCAGTGGGCTGCAACAGATAATTGAGAAGAAACAGTCACCGAGTAAAATATCTTGCCACTGCCTGGAGCAAGAAACACATAAGTATATCTAAGCTCTTCCAAAGAAGAAAAAAAAAATTGTCCTCAATTGATTTGGGTCACACAGAGAAATACTATAGGAGAGCAGTTAAAGGCATGGGCACCAGGGTCAGAACACAGAGAAATAAATACTATAGGAGAGCAGTTAAAGGCATGGGCACCAGGGTCGAATTATACAGTTTGGAATTCCAGCACTGTCATAGTCAATATGACTCTGGATAAGCAACCTGACCTCTCTGTGTCTGTTACCTGCACGTAGAGATAACATAGAAAACTCTGACCTCAACATTGATGAAAATATACAGCAACAAGTGCCAGCTGTCATTACTTAGAGTCATAAAGCTTCAGACCTGGGTGACTTTCAGAAATTAACCCCATAACTTTTATTGGTAGGGAAACTGAGGAAGAAAATAAGTAATTTGTCTGAGGGTACATAGCAGATTTTACTACTCAACAGGCTAAGACACTTACCATACCATTGCCAGCCTTTCTAGAGCCTTCTGGGTCTCAGTGCTGCCTTTAGTGTTTATGTTTCATACACGAAAGGCCAGTGTTTGTAAGCTGTTTCCCTGTTGAGTTGATAGATTTATGCTGAGCCATTATCTCACCTGTCATCTGCACTGAAGCCAGGAGCAGAAAACTAGACAGGATTAAGGCTGCCTAGAGATGGGCCTGAATCACAGTGAAGCAAACAGGATTCACCTCAGCCTCACAAACATGGTTGAGGGCAGTGAAATAATCCGTCTCACACAGACCCGAAATACAAAACAAAAACACAGGGCCCTGCTGACCACAGAACTCATCCCTCCAATTCCCTGCTAATTGTAGGTTGATAGAAGCAAGTCCTAAGGGAGATTAAAAGGGCCTGTGCACAAATATATTTACTGGACTCAGATAATGTCCTTTATTTGTTTGTTTATTTATTTATTTATCAAGATGGGGTCTTGGTCTGTTGCCCAGGCTGGAGTGCAGTGGCACGATCTCGACTCACTGCCACCTCCGCCCGCCTCCAGGGTTCAAGCAATTCTCCTGCCTCAGCCTCCCAAGTAGCTGGAATTACAGGCGCCCACCATGATGCCCGGCTAATTTTTACATTGTTAGTAGAGACGGGGTTCACCATGTTGGCCAGGCTGATCTCGAACTCCTGATCTCAAGTGATTCGCTTGCCTCAGCCTCCCAAAGTGTTGGGATTACAGGCGTGAGCCACTGCGCCTGGCCTGAGCCACCGTGCCTGGGTGTTTAATAACAGTTTTAATTCTTAAATGTTTGGAACAAAAAAAGGAAAATGAGATTACGTGATTCACCTGGTACTGCTCTAGTCCTACAGCAAATTCTAGTGCCTTCTCTGATCAGGGAATTTTTACAAAATCAAATGTGATTGATGCATCTTCATCCACACTGACAGGCACCCACAGAACATCCACCGAGACCTAGCAAGAAGTACTGACTGCAGGCCAAACCCTGGGATACAACAGGGACATGGTCTTGCCCTAAACAGCTGATAGGAGAAAGACAGCATTCACTGTGTTAATCTTAGTCCACATTAAATGTCTTCATCTAACTCCTGTTTTACATTCTTCGGTGCGTGTCCCCAAATCCTAGCACGGCCAAGTCCTTTAGTTGTAAGCCTACATGAAAGGCATCCAGGGAGAGCCAGGTGGAAATGAAGGTGGTGGGGCTTGGCCTTTCCTCCCATTCCCACCTTGAGCATTGGCACCTTTCCTTCTCTGTCGCCCACTAGCAGTTGCCATGGTATATAAGGGTATATCTTGTTTTCTCCTTAATATGTTTATTTCTGCTTCCAAGGTGCTTCTGTTTTTACTAAAACCATAGAAGCTTCCCCTCCCACCACACTCGCACCACGCACAAAAAGCAGTGGGAAAACACTTAAATTATTCCTAACCACAACAGCACTTCTGACTAACTACAAAGAAGGAAGCTTTAGAGAAGCATAGAGGGAAACTACAGTCCCAGCGAGACTGAAACCAGAGGGGTGACATAGCCAGTCACAGGAAAAGCTGGAACCAGAGCCCAGACTTCCTCAACTCCAGCCCAGTCCTTTTTCCACTGGGCAAACGCTGTTTACATGCCCTCACTTGTGATGAACAGTATGTGATAACTCACAAAATTAACACCTTTCAGGGAGAGCGGGGCACCGACCAGGTCTCTCTGATAATGAATTGCTGCCTAAGACATAACTGCTGTGGGGAGGAGGTTGGTGTTTGGCGGGGGAGGGCTAGGCTGCATTTTCGTAAGGACAATAATACATCAAAAAGGACAATCATAGATCAAAGGGGATATTTTTGGGTCAACTTGATATGTAGTGGAATGCAGATTAGGAGGGGAGTCAAGTACTGGATATGCTGTGTGTGTGTGTGTGTGTGTGTGTGTGAATCATGTTGCTCTCTGGGTCTGTTTCCCAGTCTGTAGAGTGTAAAGATCTCTCCCTTGCAGAGACAAGTGATGGAACGACCTTGACAGAAGGGAGCAGAGAGATGAAAGGAGAAGGGGGAGGAAGCCAAGTAAAGGAGAGAGAAATGTGTGTGATGGGGGAGGAGATGCGGAGTTGGGTGGAAATGCCTTTTAATAAGATATTAGGAAAAAGGTATTAAACCTAAAACTGCAGCTCTTGAGGGCTCATTTTTTCATCTTTGTTTTTAGGATTTACAGGTACAGTGCATAGTAATTTTTGGATAATTGGAGTAAATGGATGAAAAGCGTGAAACGCCTGAGAGGAGCGGGAAGATCCACCAGAGAAAACGAGCAGGGACGCAGCTCTAGTGCCTGGCCCTGCGGGGTGGTCCCCACGCCGCCAGCCGCGTGTCCCCCGAACCCGGCGCTCCCGGCGCCCTCTCGGTGAGCCGCCCTGAAACCGCCAGGGGGCGCTCCCCGGCTGCCGGGGCTGAGGCAGGCGGAGCTGCTTTAAATCGCGGCGCCCAGCGGTTTGGCGTCTCAGTTCCTGAGCCTGGGAGCAACCGCAGTTTCTAGTGTCCAGACTCCAGCGCCGCCCCGGCCCCGGACCCCAACCTGGACCCAGAGCTTCACCAGCGGCAGCGCAGCGAGCAGGGCTCCCCGCTTTAACTTCCTCCGCGGGGTCCAGCTACCTTCGGGAGCCCGCGTTGCGCACCTGCAAACTCTCCGCCTTCTGCACCTGCCACCCCTGAGCCAGCGCGGGCGGCCGAGCGAGCCATGGCCAACGCGGGGCTGCAGCTTTTGGGCTTCATTCTCGCCTTCCTGGGATGGATCGGCGCCATCGTCAGCACTGCCCTGCCCCAGTGGAGGATTTACTCCTATGCCGGCGACAACATCGTGACCGCCCAGGCCATGTACGAGGGGCTGTGGATGTCCTGCGTGTCGCAGAGCACCGGGCAGATCCAGTGCAAAGTCTTTGACTCCTTGCTGAATCTGAGCAGTGAGTGCACCCCACCTCCCAGCCGCCGTCCAGAGGCCCCAGTTCCCCTGTAGCCCCCTTACCGTCTCATTCTGTCGTGTGATTCCATGGTTATCAGGCTTCAGTTGATCAAGTCTTCTGATCATGTGCTCTGTCATAAGGAAATGAAGAGAATCCTGGTTTGAGAAAAGGGACGCCCAGGCGTAAGCTCTAGTTTTGCCTAAAACTCCCTGGGTGACACTTTTCTGCCACTCTAGGTGTGGCTTCATCCTAAATTCCTATGCGGGGGGGTCGAGACTGAGGGAGTGAAGGCTAAACTTGAACTTGAGCTCTGAGACCTCTCCTAGGCATTCTGAGATCTGGGGTAAATTGAGGGTTGGTAGGGTTCAGACAAGAAAATGGGATGGCTTAAAAAGTTTGGAGCCTGGTAACTTCTCAAGTATGCAAGCTTAAATAAATAATCCTCAAGTATGAGATATAATTTTTGTAACCTTTACTATGATTTTGCATAGTAAAATTTACATTCCTACTTGAAATGTCCCAAGTGTCTTCTGCTCATACTTGAGGATGATTCTTTTAATGTGTAAGATCTAGTTAGTGCAGGGAGGCCCCTTGCAAGACTCTTTGGAGAAGCTGCTTGAGATTCCCCCAAAGTTTGAAGTTTTAGACCCAAGGTCTTCCGTGGAGGCTGATGGTGTAGTTCTATCTTGGAAAGGGAAGGTTGGTGGCAGGTGGGAGAAGGCTGACAACAAAGGTTCTAAATAACCTGCCCAACATAATTAAAGGGAAAAGTAAAGGCACTGAAGGGAAATGCAGCAAACTAGTCATAGCTGATGAAATCAGAGGTCAGCTGGGAGTGGAAGGCAGTGAGAGAGAAAGAGGTGGGTCTTCCTTAGGTTTCCATCTTCCACAAAGGAATTTCTGTGTAATGGATGTTCAGTGACCCCTTGTCACGTTGGAAAAGATTGTATAGAGAGACATATTTCGAAGGATGGTGGGGAGAAGGATAATAGGATAATTTCTTTTTTAAATTAAAGGTTTTGAGTGCCTTGTCAGAAAAATCATTAAATTCCCGTTTACTTAGGTAATAATGATTCATGGCTGAGTATCTTCCTTGAGAAATCACATTACTTGTCTTATATCATGTGTCTGTTATGCCCTTTAACTCACTTGAAGAAAAGGTCCCTTAGTCTTTGCCCAGATAAACGTGACTGCCCACTAGCCCCCATTGTGTGCTAAGGGTGGAAAGTGTTGGCATTGTTCAAGTTTACTTAACTTGTTTTGTCTACCTCCTATCAATGGACAACTTTTAATAGTGTATATCAAAAGCCATATAGTTTAGAGCTATTAAACCTGTTCCACATCTGTTTAAACACCTTGAATACCTGTGGCATTGGCTCAGTCAATGTGCATGGTCGTTTTGAGTGTTATGATTTCAGCTTCTGAAGGTTCCCATGTTAGGACTTCTTTACACCAAAACCAATCTCTAAGTTTAGTAATTATGTGTTGCTCATTGCCCTCATGGGTTATATTTGTGCTTATAAGGTGAAAAATTAGGTAATAATTATTGAATTTCTCCATGGAAAGATAGATATATTTAAGGAAACGGTGTCAGGCATTTTAGGTAGCACGTTAAGGAATTGGCAGACGGAGGTTTCTAAGGACAATTCCAGAGAGGCCTCACTGTCAGTTTTGTTCCTCTGATCAAAATAGTTCCTTTTCAACATCTTTAAATAGGTTTTCTTTTAACTTTCCTGAAATGACCAAATGAAATCAGATTGATCCATGTTGTAAAAACTCAAAGGGATCATCCTTACACATGATAATGTGTTAAAATGTTTTACTTTCATTTTTTGGTTAATGTAGTTATTACAGTTTTTAAAACTGTGGTGAAAGGACTAAATACCTATTCCCACACATACACTTTAGAGATGTCTTCTTAGATTTTTTTTAAGCTCCAGATCAGAATCCACTTTTGTTTTACTTAAAGTCATAGTTTATCCAAGGTGTGGCTTACACCTTTCTCTCAAAACCCATTCTCAGAAGAGGGACCCTGGACTCACAGGTTTTCTCTTCTAACCTGCCATGACTCACAGGATGCTTTTGGATGGAGTCCAGGAAACCTTACTCCATTTCTCTGCCTGAGCAGTGGTGTTTACGCCCACCAGCTGTAGAGATCTGAGATGGTGATTCATTGGCTGGTTTTGGGATAGTTTTGTTACATGTAGAGATGAAAAGGGTTATGTGTGTATATTTAAGCAGTATCCCTCATAAAAAAGCTGCATTTAATTAAGCGTGTTTAGGTGAAAAGCTTAGCTGTGGGTTTCCTGAAATTGTACCTTGCTGTCTTTCCCAGTAGAGAACACTTGTCTTCGAGCCCAGATGCACGGCTTTGCCAAGGCTTTAGCACTGGAGGTATTAAAATCTCTTGTTTCCCTGGCTTATGTAGGGTAGGTTGTAAAAAGCATATGACCTTCATAAAGTAGCTGAAGGAATACAGTGTGCTAATAGTGTATACAGTAAATACAAAATGAGATACAGCAAGTCTTCTTCTTTTAGGTAGTTCTTGCCACGCAGTTTATGAAAATGTAACTGAGGAACTTTCTGGGGGAAACAAATGTCACGTTGTGTATTGTAGTTTTACAATGGCTGATACAATTTCCATTTCATCCAAAGTATGAGATTTTATTGACCCTGGGCATTCTTGTAGCTGAAAGTTGGAATATACAAAAAATGCCAGATACAGTTGCAGTAGACGTTTCTTGAGTCACCTGTACCTCTTGCTTGTTTTCATCTAATTCTCAAACTTTTAGGAAGCTAGCACCAATTTTATGTGCTTGGTTAATTGTTTCTTCTTAGTTGACTTTAATAGCTAGAGCTGTCCAAAGACTGGGTAGCTGTAGGAGGCTGTGCGGTGGGAGGTGTGCAAGCAGAGAATAAATAAGCATTTTGAAGGAATGTTGTAGGGAAGATCCAAGCACCAGACAAATGGGAGGTTAGGCTAGACTCTCTCTCAATCTCAGCGAACCCTGAGATTCTGTAATTTGTTTATAAGCTCCTCTAGCCTGTTTAACTTGCTTTGCATGAATCCACATGTGTGTAGGTGTGCTTAATGAGTATTGGTGGCTGTGAGGTTTCCCAGCACTCTCACCATGATGTCAGGCTCAATCAGAGAAACAAAATCACTGACTTGGACAGTCTTTGAAGCCTAAGTGGAGAGGAGGGCACCTATTTATGCTTCTCCAGACGCTTTATGCCTGCTGAACCGAGGGTACTCAAAGGACCATTGGTGTTCAGATATACTTCATAAATCAGTTCTGACTCTTAGAATAATGGAAGTTGAAACAAAAATCCAGGCTTGAGATCAGAAATCCTCTATTCTTACTGTGGTTTGGCACTAAGTAGCCAGGTGTATAATGGTGAACCACGTGATCTCCCTGGTTTCAAGTAGTTACCCCACTTATAAAATAGGGCAGAGTGGGAGGAATGGGAAGATGAATCTATGATTCATTTATCCATTCAACAGATGCAAGCCAGGCCCTATTCTTGCAGCTAAGGATGGTGCAGCTGAGTTCTAAGATGCCTTCCAGTGCCAGCATTCTTTGTTATTACTTCAGTGATTGAAGAGGAAGAGACAAGTCACATAGCTTAGGTTTCCTTAATTGGAGTGATTAAGGAAGTATAGTGGAGGTAATATAGAAGCATCAACTTAATTCTGAGAAAATTTCTCGAAGAAACAAACGAGAAAGGTAGCAAAACTTCTGAGGACATCCTGAAAAGTGGTACATCCTGCCTCATCCAGGATCATTTTCACCCCTGATTTTGCTGATGTTCTGAGGCCACATCTGGTGACCACCACCTCACGCACCAATAAGCAGGAAATGCTAACGATTAGGACTTTTATGAAACGTTGAACTTCAGTAAGAGTAAAAGATTTAATGTGGAAAAAAGCCAGGGGAGTACACTTCTGTGACGGTCTGTGTTGAGCTCACTTAATTGCAGGGGAGAAGAAAGTACAGTGTTTTTGTTCTAGTCACCCAATCATCAGTTCATTTATTCACTTAGTACTAATTAAGCAACTACAGATGCAAAGAGAGACGACGTGGGAATGAGGTAGAATTGGAATCTGCAGTCAACATTTGAACAACACAGGTTTGAACGGCAAGGGTTCACTTATAGGTGGATTTCTTTCAACCAATACCGATCAAGAATACAGTATCTGAGGGTCCAAAGCCTGCATGTAGGGAAGGTTGACTTTCTATATACAAGACTTCCACAGGATCAACTGTAGGACTCGAGCATGTGCAGACTTAGTTACCTGTGGGTGGTCCTGGAACCAATCATCCTTGTATACCAAGAGATGACTGTATTTTGTTTATGACATATAGAACCTAAGGTAATATGGCTAGAAAATAACATAAACAATGTCCGGTATTGACAGTAGATTCTACTGCTTGTATAGCAAGACTTTAAAGCTTTAGAAAAATTCCATATATGTCTTTCTACACATTTGTTGATTAACCTAACTGTAGCAGATCAGTAACTTCCAACTCACTTCTTGTCTCGTAAGTAGAGATCTTCATATTTACTTTTAATTATACTTTCAGGTTGAAAATGATGAGAACTCCTTAGGGGGTCTTTAATCTCAAGATTATCAGTCTAGCTAAATATAATTAAAAGACTGCCTTCTCTGTTTACTGCTGAATAATGATGAGAAAAAATAGTGTAATTTTTTTAATGTTTGCTAACCAAGTTCTCCATAGACAATTTTAGTCATTGGTCATAATATTGCAGAGTTAGCTGCAAATTTAAGAGGTGAGAAAAGGAATATGTTTGTTCACAGGTTTGCTCTAATCAAACCAATTCAAAGTTAATATTGCAAGGCTATACTGCATCTATCTCATCCAAAATGCTGTTTTATAGCTTTCAAACATCCCTCTTAACTTCTCTGCTCTGCCACTCATCATTCCATTAGGGAAAAACAAAACAAAACTTCAGCTTTGAAGCTCGTTAGACACATACTTTAAAAAATAGATCAAACTAAGCAAAAAGTACAATTTGTATTATCTGCATGAGTTTCTAGTTTTTAGTGACCTAAGCTAAGTCTGGCTTTTGGTAGCAAGATTTTAGCATACCAGGCTCTCAGGGGAGGTGTTTCTCAGCATTATTTCAAAAATTAAGCTAAACAAAAGAGAATAAGTATTTTTACCTATCATATTGGTACAGTTTTTAAAGCATAAAGACATGTTCTAATTTAAATTTATTGAAATTTGATAAATCCATGTGACTTTTCCAGTACTGTGCTTGGTGCTTTAGATGGAAATAGGAATAAATATCTGATTCAAATCATCCAGGAGTTCACAATTACATACTTTACAACTCTGATTTAAAACACTTCTGTGATGTGAAGGTATTCATCTGGTTCCAGCTTAAAACTGTGCAATTTAGATTTGATCTGCACATAAAACACTTATAACTTGTAACACAATAGTTGCTTCACTTTGACTTGTAATCTATCATTACCTATGCCTTGCTTGTGAGTTTTCGTGCTGTTTTAATTCTCAGCTTTTTGTGCGTGACTGCATGTGTATATTATTTTTGCATTTTCCTCACATATCACTATACTTAAGAATTTATCCAAATGTCTCCAATGAAGTAAAGTAAGATTTTGGGTTTGATGCAAATCTAGTATTGGAACATACAAATAAATTTTATAAGTCAATGGTTGACAGGATGTAAGTGAAAATATTACTTTGCAAAATGACATTTTAAAAAACAAAACAGGATCTCATTTCTATGGTTTATGCAATTTTTAAATACTGTGTTTTCCATTCTCTCCATTACTTTTTGTGTATTATGCAAATAAGATATTATTCTATGGAGAAAGGAAACCTGG